TGAAATTTTACTAATTCCCGGTTTCTATTAGGATCGAAAAAATCAGGTGTCATGCGTAAGCTAGTGAAGCAAACATTCAATGACGATAAATGAGACAACAAAAGAGAAATATACCAAAGATACACAAATATTTAACGTGGTTCGGATATGTCCACGGCTGATGGTAAGCTATAATCTCATATTTTAGTCACTTATTGCACTCTAATTCACTGCACTTTATTCATGTTTGAGCTTTAATTGGTGGTGTTTTGTACTTATTGAGTGTTTTATGCTTTCTAGGGGTGATTACGAGCTATGTAGATGTTACGAAATGAATTTGAGCTATTTAGAGCTTTGAAGTCTGAGTAAAAGCCCAAGGGATTAAGCTGGGATCGCGTTCGGGGGTCGAAAACCACATCTGGATATCAAAAAGCAAGGAAAATTCCATACTCTCAGAAAGCCCCGCGTGTACAATTTCATGGTGCATGTCAGAAATAACTCTCTGGATTTCCCCACTAATTTCCCGCATGACGCGTTTCCCCATGCGGCGCGCATGTACAATTTTTACAGATTGAAAATCCTATTTCGGCGAGAATAAGGTGATTTAATCTTGGCCCGACCCTACTTGGTATAAAAATATGGAAAAACATTATTTCCTGGACTTTTGACATATTGGAGACCTAACGAGGCTAAGAAGGAATGTGAGAAAATAGGGATTGATTGGATAGGTGGAAGATAATTATTTGAGATCTAACTCTAGATAATTCACTTATAATGTTAAGTGAGTCTCTCGAATTCACTCAATTAATTGGCGTTGTTGCCGGGAATTGGCAATCAATAGTGTTTGAAATAGTTTGTAGTGCTAATTCCGGATTTCTTCTTTTATTTTATTTTATTTTTCTCTTTTTTTTGGTGTTCTTTGACTGTGCGCAGGTTACAGGTTGAGGTTGGTGCATGACTCGAGCTTCTGCGAAAGAAGTGCTACCATACGAGCCATAAATTGAAAAACAACTGCGACAACTGAAGAAGGAAAAATATCTCACAGAGACATTAGAAGATACGGCTGGAATCAGTGATGATAATTTGGATTTGGTTGCGAGAGATGCAGCCCAACGAAGAGAACAAGTTGCACGGGATGCTGAGAAAGCAGCTATTAGAGACGCACAGATTATCTACGAAGAAGATAAGGGTCGTAGAATTTCTCAAAATCAACCCTTGGGTGCAGACCGGTTCGGAAATATAGCTCCTATGCCTGGGAGACTACTTGAAGATTATGCTAAACCGGTCTACAATCAAGGTTTATCAAGTGTTAGACCACCCCCAATTTTGGCAAACAACTTTGAATTGAAGCAAGGGTTGCTTCAAACCCTTCAGAATTGTTGTGTCTTAAGAGGGAAGCTAAATGAAGATCCAAATACACATCTAATGGACTTCGAGGATATTATGAATACATTTCAATATAATGGTGTGTCAAAAGATGCAGTGTACTTAAGGGCATTCCCCTTCACACTTAAAGATGATGCAAAATAGTGGCTTCGAAGCTTGCCCATAGGATAAATTAGAACTTGGAAGGGATGACCAAAAGATTCTTTGATAAATATTTCTCCTCAGCTAAAACGGGCAAGTTTAGAAGAGAGATTCATAACTTCTGCCGGAAAGAGAATGAAACTGTTTTTGAATCATGGTAGAGGTTTAAGGAGATTGTTAGAAAGTGTCAACACACTGGAATTGAACTATGAATGCAACTCGAGGACTTTTGAGATGGATTGACACCGGCCTCACGTAGAATATTGACCAATGCAGCTGGAGGTCCGTTGATGATGAAGACTCCAGGGGAGATAGTCACAATTCTTGATGAGCTATCTGAATATGCAAATTAATGGCCCTCTTAGAGTGCTGAAAGAAAAAGGGAAACTGGTGTTCACCAAGTTGATGCTAACACATCTGTGCAGATACAACTTGATGCTATGGACAATGAGATAAGGAAGCTGACCTTAGCCTCGAAACAAAGTGAGCCTCACACAGCTTGTGATATATTTGGAAGAGGACACCATACTCATATATGTCAAGCCTCAACTGAGGAAGTGAATGATGTGGGAAACTACAATTTTAATGCAATGGGTCAGAGGCACCCAGGTTTTTCTTGGAGTTCACCTAGAGGTACAGCGACTGCATGGTAACAAAATAACTCTAGACCCTAGGGACAAGAAGCTCCACCATACCAAAATCAGCAGAGGCGACATTTTCAGCCTCAACAGCCCATTCATTCTGGCATAGAATATCTCATGAAGGCATTTATTCAGAAAACTAATAAGAGGCTTGAAACTCATATCGGAGTTATAAGGGAACATGGAGAAGCTATCAAAGAACTAGGCACTGATTTTCGAAACTTGGAAAGACAGGTTGGGCAGCTAGCCACTCTATTGTGTGAGAGGATTCCAGGAACTCTCCCCGCTGATATTGAGAGAAATTCTAAAGAAACAGTGATTGTTGTAACTCTGAGAAGTGGGCAAGTATTGAAAGATTCCACCCCAGTCCAAAAAGATGCGGAACTTGAAAAAGAAAGTGGGGAGCAAGCAGCTGAAAAGTGAGGTTGATAAGAATAAGAAAGGCAAGATGAAAATTGAGAATAAAAAGAAGGAAAGAAACTTCGAGAAGGGAGGAACCTGAAAAGAGCAAGCATATATCGGCGCTACCTTTCCCTCAGAAGCTATGTAGAGAAAACTGGACAAGCAATTTGAGAAATTTTTGGATGTGCTGAAACAAGTTCATGTAAACTTACCATCCACATAAGTGCTCTCACAAATGCCTGCTTATTCCAAATTCTTGACAAAAATCCTTACAAATAAGAGTAAGATAGAAGAGACTTCAGTGATAAAGCTCACAGATCATTGTAGCGCAATATTACAAAATAAATTCCCAAAAAGTGTGGAGATCCAGAGAGTTTTACTATACCTTACTCTTTAGGCTCTATGAATTTTGATAAGTCTTTATGCATCTTAACTGCTGCCTGTCACAAATAACTCTTTGAATTTCCCCACTATTGCCCCGTATGGCATGTCGCCCCATGCGTCGCGTCTTTGCAATTTTTACAGAGTGAGATCCTATTTCGGCTAGAAGAAGGTGATTTCATCTAGGCCCGACTCTACTTGGTATAAATACATGGAAAAATATTATTTCTTAGACTTTTGACTTATTGAAGACTTACGGAGGCTAAGGAGGAGTGGGAGAAGCAAAATCACAAGGATTTCATCATTCTTTCCTCACTCAATACACGAGTTTGGATTGAATTTATGTTTTCCTATACTTAAATTTTATCTGTGATGAATTTCTCCATATCTATGGAGTAGTTCTCTTCAGGTTTTGATGGATTTGGTGTATTGATATTTGTTTGTGGATTATAACTCTAGTTTTATGTATTGAAGCGTTTTTGGATAATTTAATTGTTGCATTTATATTCACTTGTTCATGTAATCAAGATAGTGATATCTTTGCATTATATTGTTGGTTGAGTTCATATATTCTTCTTAGTAATTGAAAGAGGCTAGTTGAATTATTGATTAAACATAGTTAGGAGAATAATCAAAAGAGGTTTTCCTAAAGACCAATCCACTACGCATTCTTGCATATCTTCACATGCTTAAATTGGTTCATCTTGTGAGGTTAAGACTTAATAGAGAGGGGAGTTTTTGCTTAACGTTTGAACTAATAATTAATTGAATCCGAGAGACTCACTTAAACATTAGAAGTGAATTATCTAGAGTTAGATCCCAAATAATTATCTTGCACATATCCAATCAACCTCGATTTTCTCCCATTGATAACTACCTTGCTTACGTTTGTTGCGATTGTTATTAGTCAATAGCTTTAGATTCTTAGTTAATTTTTATTACTAATCATATAAATCTTGATTGATGATTCTCCTGGATAGCGATCAAGTTAGAAACTACGAAAATAATATTTAACTCCAATCCCTGTGGATACGATATTATATTATACTATCTTTAACTAGCGAGCATAATTTAAGTATGTGTTTCGAGCTCGTCAACGACGGAGATGAGCATCTACTATATAACAGAGAGTGCAAAACATCGATAGAACAATCTCACAAAGAGGTAAACACAAGTGACACACTAACATTTGTGCCGAAAAGTTCTCCCCCTAAACAAGATTCTCAAATCCCATGTGGCTACATTAAATAAGGATAAATGATCCTCAATTTATATAAGTCCAAATATTTTCCTCCAAGAAAATGGACTAGCCAAATATAAGAGATATTGTTTCCTTCTTAGAATAGGAAAACCTAATTGTGGTCAATATGTTGTCCTTTACTTCGAGAGATATAAAAATCAAATATGGTAAGAAAATCATGACGACACATAACATATATTTCTTGTCTTTCTTTGAACCTACCTACCCTAATAAGTGTTAAATGATATCCTGATTTTCTTACCAGATTTGGTTTTTCTATCTCTTGAAGGAAAGAACAACTTGTTTACCATAATTGAGTTTTCCTATTCTTAGAAAGAAATTATAAGTCCCTCATATTTGGCTAGTCCCTTTTCTTGTAGGAAAAGGTTTGGACTTCTATAAATTGAGGATCCTTCCTTGTCATTAGTAGCATCCACAATGTAGCCATATGGGATTTGAGAGTCATGTTTAGGAGGAGAACATTACGGGACAAGTGTTAGGATGTCACTAGTGTTTGCCTCTTCGTGGGATTGTTCCCTTAATATTTTGTATTGTGTTTTATATAGTGTATTGCTGATCTCCGCCATAGACGTAGGTCAATTGACCGAACCACGTTAAATGTTTGTGTCTCTTTTGGTAGATTTCACTTTTATTGTCTGGTTTATCATCGTTCAAGATTTGCTTTACTAGATTTCGCATGACACATTATTTTTTTCGATCCTAAAAATAAGGATAGTTTAACAATATATTTTAGCTAAGTCGTATACTACTGAATAAAGAAATAGATAAATGTGCTAAAGCCAGTGAAAAAGACTTAACAATGTGAAAGGTCTCTATGCAAAAGTTAAAAGTGCTAATAGTAGTGGCTCTTGGCTAATGGAGTCATACCTAATACTATGATTTTTTCAGTAAAAGTTAAGAATCTGCAGGTATATTCTGCTTTGTGTTTTTACTGCTGTAATAATGTGATCCAATATATCTCCTGTTGCTTTTTTGTATTCAGCTAAGTTAAGGCATTTGTCTTTATTAAGAGAAAAAGGAAAGCAAAAAAGGATGAGTGCGAGAGAGGAGAAAGAAGAAAGGAGATGGGGAATGTGATTTCCAACCAGATAAAGAAAGAGGAGTTTATGCGCGGGGATCATATTTACACATGGCTACACGGCTATGCATAAGCACATCTTGGTCTGCATTTCCATCTCTCTTTTGAAGTTGCTTAAATAGCACTACTACCTACTTTTTTTTTCTTTGGTTTTTTTTTCTCGTTGATGAAGTTATAGATCAATCGAATTATGAAAATTGGGTGTCGTCTATTTCGCAATATAATCGTCACACATAGCATGAAAATGTTGTGAAGCCCTGACTGATGTAGTTAGTTCTGCTGAAATTCTGTTTGTTTTGTGAACTGAAAATTTTGGGGGTTTCTAAGCCTGAATAAAAAGTATGATCCTCTTTCGTCTTTTACAATAACAACAACAAACCCCGCGTTTGCTCCTATTGTGGGAGGACCGAGATGCTGTATTCTTGACTAAAGAAAAGATGAAAAGAAATGTAAAGGTTTACTTTTAATGCAATCTATTTAAGTGGTACTGCCTGGATTTGAGAATCGTAAAAGGTGTAAGGGATGGTATGAGAATAATGTCTTGTTTAGATATTTGGGAATTATTAAATGTTGACGGTATGTCTTGAAGTGTTGATAATAACAAGTGGAATTGAACATGAGTTGGGATATTTTTGTAAAGGAAAATGAGTTTCATCCACAAATGAAGAAAGTCATTTTCTTCATTTTAATGAAAAATATTTTCCTTGAAGTGAAGATTTTCGAATCTCAAGGTAAACCAAACAATGAAAAAACATGTTTTTGATGATTAGATCTTACATCATAACGAACATACATTGTTTTTGTTGCGTGTGGGAATGAAGTTACACATGGGAAGGAGAAAAGAAAAAGAATCAACGTATAAGGCATTGGATACTCTTAATAGTGTAAGACCAACAACAATAACAACGACCCAGTAAAATCTCACTAGCGGGGTCTGGGGAGGGTAGTGTGTACGCAGACCTTATCCCTACCCCGAGGAGTAGAGAGGCTGTTTCCGAAAGACCCTCGGCTCAAGAAGACGAAAAGAGATAATATCAGTACCACCAATCCCATAAGAAAAAATAACGACATCATGAAAATCATAAAATAGATACAAAGTAAAAGCGATATCTAGTAAATAGACACGACCCAAGGAAAAATGAAAGAGTAGTAAGACACAACATTGTCACTAGTTGTCTCAGACAAAAACCCTATCAGACTAGCCTCACAAATGTACAAACTAAATCAAGACTCAACTACATCCTAACCTAAAATCCTAATGCTTGGTATCCACAACTTCCTATCAAGAGTCATGTCCTCGAAAATCTGAAACCTCGCCATGTCCTGCCTGATCACCTTTTCCCAATATTTCTTAGGACGCTCTCTACCTCTTCTTGTGCCCTCCAAAGCCAGCTAGTCACACCTCCTTACCGGAGCATCTCTGCTTCTCCTCTGTACGTGCCCGAACCATCTGAGCCTCGCTTCCCGCATCTTGTCATCAATGGGAGCCACGCCCACCTTCTCCCAAATATCATCATACCTAATTTTATCCATCCTAGTGTGCCCGCAAATCTATCTCAACATCCGCATCTCTGCTACTTTTATTTTCTGGATATGTGAGTTCATAACAGGCCAACACCTAGCCCAATACATTATGGCCGGTCTAACAACCACTTTATAAAACTTACCTTTGAGTGCCGGTGGTACTCTCTTGTCACACATGACTCCAGATCTAACCTCTACTTCATCCACCCCACCCCAATACGGTGTGTGATATCCTCGTCGATCTCTCCTTCCCCCTGGATAACCGACCTAAGGTACTTGAAAATATCTCTACTTGGGATGACCTATGATTCAAGCCTCACATCCACGTCCACTTCCCTCGACTCAACGCTGAACTTCCACTCCAAGTATTCGGTCTTCACCCTGCTCAACTTGAAACCCTTAGACTCAAAAGCCTATCTCCAAACCGCCAGCCTCTCGTTAACACCGGCTCACGACTCATCAATCAGAACTATGTCATTAACGAATAACGTACACCATGGCATCTTCCCTTGAATATGGTGTGATAACGCGTCCATTACCATGGCAAATAAGAACGGGCTCAGCGCAGAACCTTGGTGCAACCCCATAACAACCGAAAAATGCTCAGAGTTTCCTCCTACTTTCCTAACCCGAGTCTTAGCCCCATCATACATGTCCTTAATCCACCTAATGTAGGCAACCGACACATCTTTAGCCTCCAAGCATCTCTAGAGAACTTCTCTAGGAACCTTGTCATTCGCTTTCTGCATATCAATAAACACCATGTGCAGATGCTTCTTCCTCTCCCTGTACTGTTCCACCAATCCCCTAATAAGGTGTATATCTTCCGTAGTAGAACGACTTGGCATGAACCCAAACTAGTTGTCGGATATAGATACCGTCCTCCTCACCCTTGCTTCAGCCACCACTCTCCTAGACTTTCATGGTATGACTTAGTACTTTGATACCCCTATAATTATTACAACTCTGGATATCCCCTTTGTTCTTATACAACGGAACCACCGTACATCACCTCCACTCATCTGGCATCCTTTTCGTTCTAAAAATAACATCAAATAGCCCAGTCAGCCACTCTAAGCCTACTCTACCCACACACTTCCAAAATTCAACCGGAATTTTATCCAGTCTGGTCGCTCTTCCCCTACGCATCTTACGCATAGCTCCCACGACTCCTTAACCTTGATGCGCCTGCAGTACCCAAAGTCACGGTGACTCTCGGAATGCTCCAATTCACCTAGCACAGTATCCCAATCCCTTCGTCATTCAGAAATTTATGAAAGTAAATCTGCCATATTCCCTTCATCTAGGCATCTTTCATCCACACTCTACCATATTCGTCCTCGATGTATCTCACTTAGTCCAAATCCTGAGCCTTCTTGTCTCTCGTCTTGGCTAGCCAGAATAACTTCTGCTCCCCATCTTTCTCCCCCAGTTCCTCGTACATACGACCATAAGCCGCAGTCTTAGCCTCCGTGACTGCCAGCTTAGCTTCCTTCCTAGCTACCTTATACCTATCCATGCACGTTCACCTCTCCTCCTAACCTATGCTCCCTACTAACTTCAGGTACGCCGCCTTCTTTTCTTCCACTTTACCTTGGACCACTTCATTCCACCACCAGTCTCCTTTGTGCCCACTAGAGACGCCCCTCGAGACCTCTAACACCTCTCTCGTAACCTCCATTATATAGTCTGTTATCGTCGACCACATAGTGCTTGCGTCACCACTGCTCATCCAGGTTCCCATAGCCGACTATCGCCCCTCCAACTCCTGGGCTTTATCCTTAGTCAAGGCTCCCCACCTGATTGTCTGTCATCCTCAAGCAGGCCTTTTCCTCCTCTTTAATATAATACCAACGTCCATCACCAATAGCCTATGCTGCATCACGAGTATCTCACCAGGAATAACCTTGCAATCTTTACATAACCCTCAGTCATACTTCCTAAGGAGGAGATAGTAAATCTGAGTGTTCGCCACCGCATTTTGAAAAGTAAGCAAATTCTCCTCCCTCTTTAGAAAGCTAGAGTTCGCAATCACAAACCCAAATTCCTTAGCGAAGTCCAACAACGAAGTACCGCCACCGTTCCTCTCCCCAAAACCGAAGCCTCCATGCACCTCACNACCCCTCCTTGAAGCGCTGTTTAACCTCCTCATCCAGGCCCGCATACGACACGTAAGAGCTAACGACGTTAAAGGTGCACTCTCCAACCACCAACTTAATAGTCATCAATCTATCATTCCACCGTCTAACCTCAACCACACACTCTCTAAGATCCCCGTCCAGCAAGATACCCACTCCATTCTTACCCTTTCGGACTCCTGCGAACCAAATCTTTTACCCATCCGCATTCCTCTCCCTCGAGCCTACCCACCTAGTCTCCTGGACATACACTATATTGACCTTCTTCCGGAGGATCTTCGCCAACTCTATAGACTTACCCGTCAATGTACTTATGTTCCATGACCCAATTTTGAACCTATAAGCACCCATGTTCCCCTTATATGCCCCACCTCCCGCCCCACCTCCCACTCCCCCAAAGGACATGACCTCACTCGACCATCCCAGACCACAGCCACTATACCTACGACAGACTAAGGGAAATCACTAACACACACTAGGCAACATACAATCTAGAACAAGATAAGTTGTAACTACAGGCACGCTAATATAGTGATTAAACTAATACGAACTAAGATGGCAGCAATTTAACTAATACAACGAAGGGGAACAGAAAAACGAGAGGTACCAACTCCCGCGAGTAGAACGTGGGAATTGTCTTGGTATACACGAAGGTATTGCGACCACCTTGCGCGTTCACGTCCGACTCCCGCCGCCCCTTGCTGATACTTGCTTGGGATGCTCTTCCATGTTTGCACACGCTTGTCCCGCTCGCCGCCAATAGCCACTGACCCTAACCTGAAATACACACAAAACACTACGGAGCCAAACAAAGGGGGGAAGAGTTTTCACCGCTACCACGGGTGAAGCNGTCGATGTTGCTGTAGTCACCGGCACTGCTGTTGCTCTAGTAACGAAGAGATAGAGAGGTGAAGGGGAGGCAAGAGAGATGAAGGGAAAGGGGGGCTAACATGCTGTGTAGGGGTAGGGGTGGTGGTGGTCGCCGGCGTGGGGGAGGTATGGGAGAGAGATAACGCATAGGGAGGAAGAAGGGGGATGGGGCGATAAAGATGAGGTTGGTTGAGGCGAGAGAGATGACGGAGGGGGCTTACCTACTGGTGGGGGTAGTCACCGGCATGGGGTGGATGCCGGTTGCTTGTTACTGTTGGCTGGGTGTGGGCCTGGGTTGTGACCGTTGGGGGGAGCGCAGAGAGAGAGAGCCTTTTTCAAAAGGGAGTGTAATTAATAATAGTGTAAGACCTTTTGAGGGAAATTGTACTGGCTTGACCCAAAATGGACAATATTACATTATGTTAGAGTATCTTTGGGCTGTTTTATTTCCTAACATTTTCTAGGCCTTCTATGTCCTCTCAACTCCTACATCTTCCCAAATAGTTCTATTGTTCTGGAGCTTCACTCTGTCACAAAACTTATTGGTATAGGTTCCGCTCTCTCAAAACTTTTACGTTGTTCGTGTCACTCTTTACAAACTGGAAAGCATTGAACGATCTGCTCCATACATTGTCACAAACTCTAAAATCAGAGCCATTTATTACAGGCTACTCTATGGAGCTATGTGTTCTACTTCTTTGAGATTTACTCTAAGCCTATTGAGCTGTGTGTAGGCGTCTTCCACGCAATACCTTAAAATTTTGGGTGTATGCATTCCTTAAACTAGTATATTTTCGCATTAAAGTTTTGAGTTGGATTTATGCATTCCCGAAATTCTAGTGAATATGATGTAAGAATAAACATTTCTGAAGTTATTTAAAGTCTTGGACTATTCTACCCAATTGCTTCGAGTTTTGAATTAGGTGCTTAGGTTGTCTAACTTTAAAAGGTTGGAAATAGCTAGAGAAATCGGATGTGTACAGAACAGAGAAATTCTGGCTTTGTGCTGTTTGATAATCAGGACAGAGAAGTCCTGACTTTAATCTTAACACTTGAGATTAAAGTCTTACGGACCATTGTTTGAATAGTGTAATGATATGTCCTTGTGCAGCACCTTGAACATCCATCTTGGTTTAGAGTTCTTAGCAATGACAAAGGCAGATCCTTTCTTGCCTTAGTCAAAACTTCAATCATGATCTTTCGCATAGCTTTTCAGTTAGATCATTAAGATGAGGTTAGTCACAGAAAGAAGATGTTTGAGTGATCTTCTCAATCAAAATGTTGGACATGATGAATTGGCTTCTTAGTGGTACAACCTCGAATCAGTTTTTGTACTGACAGAAATCTATACATAAAGCATATTTCAGTTTCAGCATCTTGCTATCTATCATTCAGGAAAATAAAAGGCTACCAAAGATGTGCAGCTCTTTTAGTAGCTATCTAGAATGATTAGACATCTTTAGTCTGGAGAGTCTCCCTCAGTTAAAAGGTATAGGAAATATAGTAATTTTGAGCTGAACGAGAAAGATTTAAACATAGCGAAGGGTTATTTATACGGAAGAAGAATCATGTAAGCTAAGACAATCTCTCGGAGTTTGTGTATTATATTAAGGTACAATACAGAACCAGTCTCCAGGAGCGGTTTTATAGCCAAATATATGGGGCACGTGAACCCATAGTCTTTCGGCCAAACTAGGTATTTTATGTACATATCTTCTAGAATTGATCTAATATTATCTGCTGGCAGCCGTATGCTCCAAAGACGCTAAATGGTGCAGTTGGTTAATGTTGAGTTTTTTTACCTAGAGGAGTAGGAATCAATTCCCACTTAATACTTTCTTTTTTCTCTTTTCTTTAGTGGTGTACCATATTATAAAAAACCTAGATCCGCCTCTGCCGGTCTCTTCTTTTTCTCTGCATTGCATGGTAATATCTCTAGTTTCTAGTACTTGTGTCTTCATGCGATTTTGCTAATGTTTATCTGTTGATAAGCAATGTCGAAGATAGAATTAATCAAGTAAAAGTACATTTTCTCTAACAATTTGACTTTTAAATGAGGTGATTCGCTATTTAACAAACACTTGTGGCATATTCCCCTGAATTAACTGACATATCCTCTGTTCAATATCAAGAATATATGTTAATGATGGAATCGTGATCCATTTCACCCTGGCAGCTGGTCGGGAGATAGGAACAAGAATAATCCTCGATCGTTACATCTTTAGCTCATCTCCCTCTCGTCGCCCTGTATCCCAATGTCCAACATGTGGTGATCGACCAAGGAGTGATGGGGTCATATCTTCATGCATTGAATGCTTCCTCTCTGGTGGTAAACTATATCGTTTTCAATATGGTGTATCGCCAGGTTTCTTTCTTGCCTAAGTGAAAGGACGTGCACCTTTGTTCGTTCTAATTCTCGGGAGGATGACAGATGTCATCCTCCGCGCTGAAATTCTTCTTGGTAACGGTTTTGGAAATTACAACCTTTTCAAGAACAAATGTGAGGATTTTGCAATCTACTGCAAGACGGGTTATCTGCTCCTAATAAATGTGGTGATAGGGCGTAGTGGTCAGGCAGCGTCATTGGCTCCAGCAGCTAGCTCGTTGGCTTCATCACCAGTTCGCCTTATGCCTACGAGTGGTCTTGCAGTTGTTGGTTGGGGATTTTACTGTGCTAACCATTTTTTTTCTGATATTGGAGTCCGCAGGGATGTGATGAAAATACCTGCAAAGAGGCTTGTTTCCCGTGATCGCCTTATAAGTATTTGAACCTGCATTACTCAAAATGGCTTCTTGGGACCAAATCTTGAACTTATTTATACCTCACTATTCTTATCATTCGTGAAATACAATTTATTGTCAAATGCCTTATTATGATTCTTTCCTTTCAATTTGCATCTATGTTAAAAGAACTTACTCCCTCCGTTTCAATTTATGTGAACTTATTTCCTTTTTAGTCCGTGCAAAAAGAATGACTCATTTCCTTATTTGGAAACAATTTACCTTTATGTAATGATTTATAGCCACACAATATAGATGTGCCTCATTTTACACCTCAAGTTCAAAAGTCTTCACTCTTTTCTTCAACTCCGTGCCCAGTCAAATGGGTTCACATAAATTAAAACGGAGGGAGTATCATGCATCGTTTGTTGCAAGCGTGTATCATTTGGTAAAAAAAAACTAGTCTAAGCATTAGTAAATAGCCCATATGATGTCCTCTATAGTCATTTCTGAGATACTACTTATCTATGTTGCTTGGTGTTAAGTATTGAAGTTTTTATGATTAACAAAGCATGACTAACTGCTCAAAGAACTAGGTCCTCAATGTAGCTGCTTAACTGTTGTGAAGAATCAACTCCTTAGGTTAAAGGATCAGTTGCTCATGATTGATACTTCTATGTATGTAAAACACAGTAACATTATCTCAAAGTTACCTAGGTCCGAGTTTGGTGGAAGCTGACTGTTATAAATGATAAGGATCGTTGCTCAAGAAGATATGGATAATTTAGTCAGAGACAAAAGTCCCAAAGCTTGTAGAATCCTTGGAACATTAGGAGTCCTATCAGAGAGGAAGTTGATTATGAATAGGACTCCTAGAAGATCTCAAGTCGTGTTTAAATAAGATTGACTTTGGACTTCTGAAATATCCTTTTACACATCAACTAAAGTATCATGAGTTATTTTTACTTGTGTTGAGTACTTGCTTTGTATTCTTCTGAGTCAGTCTAGTGAATGTGTTTTAGGAAATTGAGTTGTAATCAAACGTCATAAACAACTAGTGAGTTGGAGTGAATATTATGCTTTATAAGTTAGAGTAACTTGTGAATCAAATAGAAGTAGTAGGAGTACTCGAGAGTATTGACTTATAGTCTTGTAATTGATACATTTTGGTTCATTGTTCTAGTGGAATTGGAGTTGAAAATCTTACGTGATAGGTCGTGATTTTTGCACCTTTGAGCCGGGTGATTTTTCACGTAAAAATTGATGTGTTCATTGTATTGCTTATTTACTTTACGCGCAAGGAACACGGTAAAGATCCAAGTTCTTAAGTAATCCATACGAGTACTCAATTTAACAATTGATATCAGAGCGGGTTCTCTCATTTACACGACTAACACCTAGAGAGATCTTGGAAGAAAGATGAGTGCCCTGCCTAGAATTAATGAAGGACAATCAACTACCAGACCACTCCTGTTCAATGACAAATATTACAGTTGGTGGAAAGCAAGAATGAAAGATTTCTTGATAGCTGTAGACTATGAACTATGGACTATAGTAAACCAAGGTCCTTTCTTTCCTACTAAACAAAATGCACAAAGTGAAACAGTTCCTAAGGACCCATCCGAATTTGTGGTTGCAAATTTTAGAATGATGGAGAAGAATGCAAAGGCTAAGAAAATAGTCCTAATGAGTACAATAGAATTTCTGTATGCTCTAATGCGAAGTAGATATGTGATACAATCCAAACTGCTCATCAAGGAGTAAATCAAGTAAAGAGATCAAGGATTGAACTACTCATGAGAAACTATGAGCTTTTCTCCATAAAGGAGTCTAAGCCCATCCATGATATGATGACTCGGTTCACTATAATAGCCAATGAACTGAAATCACTTGGAAAGGTGTTTACCTCAGAAGAGTTGGTTAGCAAAGTTTTAAGAATCCTTCCAGCTTTATGGGAATCAAAAGTCACTACAATCCAAGAAGCCAAGGAATTGGATAAAATCTCACTTGATGAGTTGGTTAAAAACTTTAAAACTCATGAAATGAGAAAGATAGAACTGCGCAAAGAAGTACCAAATAAGGATAAGGCCTTGGTTCTTAAAGCATCTGAGGATGATGAATCTGATTATGATGATCCTGAACTAGCAATGTTTGCCAAGTTCAAAAGATTCATGAAGAATTTCAAAAGTGCATCCAAGAGAGAGACAAGCAGTAAGCACAAGCAGATCGACAAAGCTAACTATGATGGGTGCTACAAGTGTGGCAAGGTAGATCACATGGTAAATGACTACCCAATCTGGGAAATAAAGCGGAGGAAATAACGAGGTGAAAAGGAGAAACAAGAGAAGATGAGAGAAAAGGGTTACAACAAAGGAAAAATCCTAGGTAAAGGATTTACTGAAACAATGAAGCAGGCATTCTTGGTAGCATATAAGGATAGTGGGAGTGATTAAGAGGAAGAAAAGGAGGATGAGACTATAAGTCTTTATGCTGTGATTGATGAACACCAAGCTGTGTAGACAGATCCCCCAATACAACTTGGAATGCACATTGGAAGACCTCTCCTGTTTGATGAACACCAATATGATAAATAGAAGCTACATATGGAAATATTTCTTCAGGCTACAGACTTTGACCTATGAGTAATTGTCAGTCATGGACCAATTCTCCCAACTAAATTGGATGGTAAAGGTAACATGTGCAACAATAGAGAAGACGAATATGATGAAGAAGATTTTCAGCTAGTTAAAACAAATGCTAAAGCAAATGACTTGCTCTACAGAAGTCTGTCTAGAAACACCCTCCTCAGAGTGTCCTCTTGCATCTCTTCTTATGATATATGGAGGACCTTATAAACTGACTTTGGAAATTAAAATATCGAAGTGGCTTTGATGGTGATTGAAGAATTAAAAAATAGAGGAAGAAGTGATAGGAATGATGGCCAGGAGTGGAAACTGAAGATAAGGCAAATCAGGTAAGTATATCTGACTTGAAAGAAAATATTCATGCTATGTCCAAAAGGCAACTGATGGTGATAATTGTGACCCTGATGAATGAAATGGATAAAATGAGTAACGGAAATGATCAGCTAATCAATAACCTTTCTTGTGTCAAACTTGATATCAAAAAGCTTGAATCTGACAAAGATAGCTTAGAGAAACAGGTCAAAGACCTTAAGAACCAGGTTCTTAAACTTACTTCTGAGAATGAGAAGTCTCATAATACATATGGCAAAGGAAAAATGAGTGATCTGCAGGATAATCTTGAAAAGGAATTAAAAATTATTAATGATAATCTTTGTGATGCTGAATGTAGAAATAAAGTCGTATATGAAAACCTAGAAAAGGCTAATTATGAACTCTCTAAAATAAGCAAATGGCATAGAACTTCTAATGCCTTGAACTGGTTGAATAAAAACTGTAGATCAAACAAATCTCGAATTGGCTACAGAAAACCTGTCCCTAAGTTTGACCCAGAGTATGTAGGAATTTCTGATAATAACATGTGCGCTAATTATGGAAGAGTAGGGCACTTTAGAGACACTTGCCATGCCTTAATTCATGCTCGGTTTAGAAACATCTTTGGTATTTCTAAAAATGTGAAGAAGGAAGAGGATCCAAAGGTTAATCCTCATGTCCATACTAAGTGAATTAAGGTTAACAAGAAAATAACTTCTAATCCTCTCCCCTTCTGGGCAAAAAGGGATCTGATTCATCCGTTTTCAAACAAAAAAGGACCCAAGCTAGTCTGGGTTCCCAAAACTAACTTGTGAATTTTGGTGCAGGCTAAGGTGAGAGGAACCAATCAGTACTGGTATCTAGACAGTGGATGCTCAAGACATATGACTGGAGAAAAGAAAAATTTTCTCTCACTAGCAGCCTTCCAATGAGGGAGTATGTCATCTGGAAATAGGAAAAAGGGCCAGATAACAGGTATTGGCAAGGTTGGCAAGTCACTCTCTCATTCTATAGAAGATATGTATTATGTGGTATATCTTAAGCACAACCTTCTTAGAATCTCTCAAATGTGCGACAAAGAAAATGTGGTAAAATTCAATTTCAAAATATGCATTGTCACTAAGCTTGATACTGATGAAATTGTACTAAAAGGTAAGAGACATAAAAATGTCTACAAGATATCGATTATGTCACTTCCCCAGAGTGAGCACACATGCTTGAGTATAGTGGATGATGATCCACTACTATGGCATAGAAGACTGGGACATGCCAGTCTCTCTCAACTCAACAAGTTAGCAGTGAAAGACTTGGTCCTTGGTCTACCTAAGGTTGAGTTCACCTTTAACAAGGTATGTGATTCCTATGTTAGAGGGAAACATGTTAGGTAATCCGTTTAATCTATGAAGTTTGTAAGTACTTCTAAACCTCTAGAACTCTTTCATATGAATCTATATTGACCAATGAGAATGAGGATCTGAGGAGGTAAGAGGTATGTGTTTGTGATTGTTGATGTATCTCCAGGTATACCTGGACTTTGTTTTTGGAATCCAAAGATGAAACTTTTGATATTTTCTCTGTATTTGTCAGAATGATTCAACAAAAGCTAGGATGTAATTGAAAGTACGGGGGGAGGGGGGGTGAATTGTGGACTATTAATTTCTTAGTTGACTAAGTTTTCACTTAGTCGACTAGCTTTCGTGCAACACACACATAAGATAGAGATGAATGCAATAAATTTGATGGCAACATAAGACACAGCAGTTTTTATACTGGTTCAGTACCGGTGTGGTACTTACGTCTAGTTTCCCTTGGGTCACAAGGGTTCTTTTTAGATCTTTGATAAAGAATTACAACAGTGATGGTTTTGGCTCGTTCACCACCAACGATGTTTAGCAATAATGATTTCTGAATGTTGACACAACTCTCTTTTGTGTTCTAACTCCTTCTATCTTTTATGATACTTGTAGACTCAAGAATACAGTGCTTGTACTTAGACTTAGAGAGACTTAGATAACAGTGTTTGTAGTTGCGCACACTGCTCCCTTGAGTTCGCCAGTGGCTTTATAGGAAGGTATTGTTGTGTGTTTGTGTCTGATTCCAGCAAGGTGTCTTGATTCTTTTAAGAGAGATGGGTGTTGGATTAGAGCATGGTGTCTCTAATTTCTTCAAGAGGGATGGGCTGGAATTTGTTAAATC